AAGCAGACAGGCACGGAGAGACAGGCACACAGACAGGCACGCAGACAGACAGGCACAGAGAGACAGGCACGCAGACAGGGAGACAGGCACGCAGACAGGCAGGCAGAGAGACAGGCACGCAGAGACAGGCATGCAGATAGGCACGCAGAGAGACAGGCACGCACGCAGACAGGCATGCAGAGAGACAGGTAGGCACACAGACAGAAAAACAGACATGCAGACACACCGAAAGGCAGACAGACTCTTAACAGTGACTCACACTTGTTTTGTGGCTCCAGTTCCAGCAACTGAGTGCAGGACTGCAGCTCAGACTGCAACACTGATGACTTTTCCACAGACAGCTCGCTCCTGCAAGGGGGGTAGGCATAATGGCATTGATTAGCATTAGCGGTAAACAGCACCCCCCCCCCCCCATCTCACCCCGTACCTGAAAAGCTCCAGGTCAGTGGCGGAGTCCCGGCACCAGCTTTCAGCGCGGCCTGTCGCCAGAGAGAGGCGCTGTAAGCAGCCTGCCAAAGGGGCTCTACAGAGCAGCGGATGCCTCAAAACACAGAGACGCACAGAGACGCACAGAGACGCACAGAGACGCACAGAGACGCACAGGGACGCACAGGGACGCACAGGGACGCACAGGGACGCACAGAGACGCTGAACGTTACCAGAGTACAGAGCGCAGTCTCTGTGGGTTCGCTTCTCGGTCCAGGTCACGGTCAAGTTGTGTTCATTACTGGTGTCACTGATGGTCCCTGGAGGTAACTCACAGATCTGAGGGCCTCGCCGTTAAAGAACGATAGTGAGGGATTCACCACATCCCGAGATAATAAAACGCTGCTAAAACGGGGGCCATGTTAGACTCCCCCCCCCTCCCCTCATGCTGGCAGCAGACAAAAACATTTGGGCAGAAGATCACAGGCAACAAAAGGAAAGTTGGCAGCCAGTCAGGAATGTGTGGGCGGCGCACGAATACCGGCGGTCTCGAAATTCGCCCTTATCAGATGGTCCCGTGCGGAGAAAACAGCCGCCACCTTTCAGACAACACCTGTGTTTCATCCAAGGGCTCAACTGCCTAAGTATCGCTGATTATCTAAGACCTTAAATCAAGAAGAACTTAAACGCATCTACTTAATCTGTAGGTATGCAAAGCAGCAGCTATATAAAATGAAACATGATCTTCGATGACCTTCACACTTGACCTCTGACCCCGGCTGAAAGGATACCCAGACGGGGCTATGGCGGACGCAGGAGTGCGCACTTCTCCAGTCGACCTGCAGGGGCTGGCCATCCACCACCAGCAAGAACCCCACACTCAGGGCCTGTGGGGGAGAGGGGGTGCATCAGTGACACCAAGAGATGCAAAGGGGCAGGTGAGGGCAACTGATATAGAGGAATGGAGGGAACAGGAAGTAGAAATGGGGGAGAAGCACAGGAGACAAGCTGCAGTATAGAAATAGAGAGACAGAAGGGAGAGACGAGTGAAAGGGGGAGGGGGCACTCACGTTGACGGGGCGGGAGAATGCGACGACAACTCTCTCTCCCTCGCGGCTGACGTACACGCAACTGATCATCTCCTCACGCTCCGCTGGGGAGAGGGGGAGGGTGCATTAATGGGGGAAATCGGGAGCTCAGAAACCGCCCCAGGAAGCAACAGTGTAAACCGGCCACTGGGGCGGCGCTCTCGTGCAACCGAGCCGGGCTCACCTCTGCCCAGAAGCCAGCGGTAATAGAACCAGGCGCTCTGGTCGTTGGGGTCGGTGAAGAAGGCGTTCTGCACGAGTTCGTACTCTGCCGGGCACAGACAGCCAGAGACGTGACATGGAGCAATCCCAGAATGCATCACCAAACCGCTGCCGTCTCTACCGTTTACATTTATTTATGTACCTTTGAGGAGGCGCTCCTCGCAGACGCGGTGGGAGTGCATCTGCGGGGAGGAGGTGGGGGAGGAGCACTCCCTCTGTGGGGAGGACGACTCCGCGGAGCCGGGGGCCAGCAGGGGCAGCAGCGTGCTTCGGTAATGCCAGCTCGAGTAGTTGGAGAAGTTGGAGCCGATGAGGCGGTCGGTGAATTGCAGCTCCTGCTCGATGGGCACGCCCGACATCTTCACCACTAGGCGGCGATAGTCCCAACAGTGAACTGGATGTGGGTTGGGTGGGAAGTGATTGGTGAAGAAATCACTCAATCAACGTGAAGTGGGGCAGTATAAAAAGACACAGTGGGGGCTTGTGAACAGCTGAGGCTGTGCTTTACATCAGGGGTCTGCTGGTCAGCCTACAAAGCATGCTGGGAGTTCGCACAGTGACCCCGCCTTCGCATCACTTCCATCGGGCATTTCAGTTTTTCCGGAATGTTCACGCTGTCACCGCATTCCACACCCAGTGGTAAGTAAGTTAAGCGGTGGTTTGAGAGAACGGCATGCACATTAGTACTCAATTACCAAAAGTACACAAAAAACAATTAGGCCAGACAGACACAGACAGACAGACACACCCTTTAGACCCGATATCTCCATATGAGCGTGTGGAGGTTTTAGTTACATCCCCCCCCCCAATCACACACATTGTCCCATTGCTCACAGTTCCTGTCATCATGGTACAGGTAGCGGTCACAGAGGCCCAGCTCCCTGGCCCAATCTGGTCGGGGCAGGCGGGACGAGACCCAACCCCGGTGGTGCCAACTGCCGTAGGACTTCGGGTTCATCTTCAAGCAGGTCTCCAGGAAGTTGAGTTCTTCTTCGTACAGACGCTGTACTTCATCTTCCGAGCTGGTGCAGGGCAAGTAAGAAAAGTGGCCAATTCATAATGACGTTTAAAATTTATAATAAAGAAAGAAAGAAACAAACAGAATTTATTGAACTGGCTGGTAACTTGACTTCACCCTGGCCCCGGGACATTTACAAGCTGACTTTCCCACGCCTGGAAATCTCCTGTGGTGAAAGTGAGGCACTGGTGCATCATGGGAAATGTAGTGCACACTCACTCACCGCACAGTCTCCAGGTACAACAGGATCTCTCTCCGGTAGTTCCATAATGTAGCAAAGTCTGGGTTCGAGGCTAGCAGTTGCTGAGATAACTGCAGGGCCTCTTCATCTAAAACGCCCTCCTTTCTCTGTCAAAGAGAGAGAAGCGAGCCAGAAGTAACTCAACTGAAGCACATTACCATGCATCTCCTAAAATACGTAAAGGCTGTGCGAAGCAGGGAATACAGAAATTCACACTACTGTATATAACTTTGGAGAGAGCTTATAAAATCAGTAAGTCCATTTTTTGTTAACAAATAACCTCTAAGAATGGAACTTAGTGCGACCAAGTTGGGCTTCATAATTCAGCCACAAGGTCACTTCGTTTGCAAAAATCATTAAAGGTAATTCGGGAATCCAAATATCGCAGGGACTGAGCAATAAAAGTCTCTGGCAGTGGTGGTAGGGATTTGCTGAGCCGCGCGTTATGGCTTATTTGGTGGGTGGGTGGGTTCACCTTGTTGAAACAGGCATCTCTGGTAGTCAAGTAGATCTTTAACTTTTTCTCTTTTTCCTTTCTCTTCTCCTCCTCCTGCTGGGCAGTGGATTTCAGCTTCACTCGCCCATGCTACGACCACGGGAACAAGCCCAGTTAGAGCCTTTAATAGCATCCAATAAATAACTGTCACTAACCTTCTAGAGCAAATAACTGGCACAGTAAATAAGGCGTGTGGGCTTTACACCAGTCAGAGGAATGCAAAAAAAGTCAGAACTAATGGGGAAAAAAACTTACCATCACTATCAGCTACAATGACTCCAAACCTAGGAATGCGATAAACAGCGGATACGTTAAAAAACAACACGCGATCTTTTACTGTGGGCAACGCCAAGCGCGCACACACCCAACACACGCGAACGCGCTTTTAGATCATCCCGCACACCTCAGCCAAAATACACAGACGTAAAAAATAATATGTGGCAATAAATAACACTTACAGATACTTGATCTTCTAAACAAAATATTGGAATATTTTTATTTAGAAACGAGTTTTTTTTTTGTAACTACTTCATTTAACATTTAATCGTTTCCATATTAAACGTCCTGGAAGGATGCAAGATGCGTACCTCAGTAGTAACAACACAAAGCGAAAGCGAAAACCAGCATATCGGCAGCTGGTACTTACCGAGCAGCTGTTCGTTATTAACAAAGATCTTCACCAGCTTTCCTATCCGTTTCTACAGAACGAATGCCTCGACTGGATGTCACTGTCAACGTCCCTTACTGATGACGTTGCCAAGGTTGCTTCCGACACTTGTGAATGGCGTCACGCTTCAGCGAACGTTGACAGTACCGGTATTAGCCGCAGATGGCACTGTAGCACGATGTGCGCTTGGTTGGCTGCTTACTATTGCAGTTCGTTTGTGCTAAATGTCGAAGTATATGTCTGGCGGTGTATTTAATCGCCTCTGTCTAACCATTTTAAAGGCTATTTTTTGTTCTATAATCACCATGACTTCAACTAGATTAATTTTTTCAATTCCTTGATATATATATAATTTACAAAGGCACACATATACAGTATACAGTTTCACTATTTGACATATTACTAAAACATGAATAATCCCAATTAAAACAATTGAAAGCTGCATATGTACTTCGCTATCCATTGATTTTATGCTGATAGTGTATGTATAATTGTAGGTAAGTAAACGAGACCTGGGTGACGTGGTTGGCAGCGCTATAGGCTTACACCTTTGGGGGCTGTGGGTTCGATTCCCACATGGGATCTGTATGTGGGGGGCTTGTATATCCTCCCCATGTTTACGTGGCTCTCTTAAACTGGCATTTCGTTCTTTTATTCTCCATTTCTGAGCACAGTCTCTAAGCTCACTGCACAATTTATACCCGAAAAGCAGTACAGAGAATGGCTGGATGTAGGTTAAATAACACTTCACTGATTTCTGCAATGAAACCTGCAAAACTCCATCCGTCACTAACTACCAAGACATCTCAGGGTCATAAGGAAGGAGTCAGAAGAGTTTGGAATGAATGTTAGTAAATGTCTTTATAAAGACACAAACTCACACAGAAGTAAGAATTCTCAGTAAGAACAGAATAATTCAAAGGTTATGAAAAATAACCGCACTGAAAGCGTAATACAATTACAGATACAATTTTAACATAAACATCGATTAAAAAATTAATCTGAACATTTTAACAAAAAAAAATTATGTTTTTGAATGATATACGAAAACACCTTTGCAAAAGGTGACTATTTCTTCATAATGATCAAATGATCTAACAGTCGAAACATGACCTTTATTGTCACATTCAATCCCGATCGATCCCGGGTTCCAGCGCGAACATAGGGAGGACTCCCGTCCTCGGTTCCATGGTGTAATGGTTAGCACTCTGGACTCTGAATCCAGCGATCTGAGTTCAAATCTCGGTGGAACCTGCATATTGGGGCAGCGTGTGGCTAAGCCGTCACAAGGTCGCCGGTTCAAACCCAGCCTCCACACGTCTGTGGGTTCTTGAGCAAGACCCTTAACCCCCAGCTCCCTGGGCGCCGCTACAGGTGGCTGCCTTTCGCGGACAGCTTACTCTACAAGGAGCAAGTTGAGGGAGGCGTAAAAACAACTTCTATTATTACATTCAAACTCAAGACATATATTCTTTCCATGGGAAATATGTTTCCTGAATACACATCATAATAATTCTTCAGAAAAATATTTAATATTGAGGTCAGTATTTAAAATCTCATGCACTTGCAGAAGAATGATAATATTTCTTGCAAAGAATTACTAACCAAGCTGACATTTTCAGCTCAACCTGATAGACGCAAAGGCCGCCAGGGGGCGCCGTTTAACACATTTCTCTCTTTACATTGAGAGCTGCAAGGTGGAAAGTCCATCTGACTTAGGACTGTCTGATTCTGCCCGTCGTAAGATGAAGCCTGCAGACTGTAGGTGGCTCAGCAGGTTCTTCTGCCCCTCTGTCTGTCGTTCATCCTGTGACAGAAGGTTCTTAACCTCCTGGATACAGCTGGAGTAACCCTCACTGACAGCCACCGTGAAGCTCGATCTTCTCACAGATCGCTGCTGAAGATGCCATATCAGGAAGCGAACCATCATCTCCAGGACGTCGGGCTTCTCCTGCCGGGAGTCGGGCTGCTGGCTGAAGCTGCTCCATGCTGCTGCTGATGGGATCTCTGCGCAGCTCTCCACAATGTGTTTCCTCAGCTTCAATGAAAAGAGCAGAGATGTTAACACCCGTCCTCTGTAACAGGGTAGAGGTGGAGCTGTTTGATTATCAGTCATTTTTATAAGATCATGCACTCAGGTTACCTTGTCCGCCACCGCGAGGTGCTCCTTAGAAGATGTCATTGCTGCTGGGACTGTAGGAGCCTTGACTGAGGTGCAGGGACCCCTGAGAGGAGTGAATCCGACCTCTTCGGAGCTCCTATTTATACCCCCAGATCTCCATGAGAATGTGTGGGGATCAGGCTTGCTGGAGTTTCCCACACTGAGCAGCCAATGGGTGAGTTCAGCATCTGTCACACGCCCATTGAGGTCCTGCCTGCTGGTGGGCAATGGGGGCATCTCGGGGGAGCAGATGGAGGGGGGGGCTCTCAGTGCTTTGTGTGGAAGTGGGCAGGGGGTCACTCTGTAAAGAGAGCTGATCTGTCCTCTGATGGGGGTATTCTGATGCTAACCGGGCACGTGCTCCTTAACACATGGTTCTTGCACCTCTTTGATGCTAAAATTAAAGCACTGAATTCCGTTGTAATTGCTTGTGTTTTAAAGTACTATCTGTATATGTTAGTATACAGTTAAACATGAGACTTACACATTATATGCTTCATATATTTACTAATTCTACAGATGCTTTCATCCATAGTGATACACAATTGAGAAACCAGGCACAGCCAGTTACGGGCCTAAGGGCCGTGCTCAGGGGCACAACAGTGACACCTCTCTGCCCGCCATAGGATTGGACCCAGCAACCTTCTGTTTATAGGTGTCCTAACCCAGTGACCCAAACACTGGCGAAACATATGGATTAAGCAAAGTGAAGCACAAATTTCAGGGGAATTTTGTGTGCTTCACTAGCTGTCACGCCAGTTCTGTTTACACGTTCTTTTTGAGGAATAGCAGTTTGCATGCACATTTTAATATTGAAATGTTCATATTTAAAATGATTTTTTCCCCATTGAATATCACGTAAGGCACCGGTGCTTCTTAAGATTAACTTATACAGAGTTTTCCACTCTTGTTTCTGCAGGGTGACTCAGTCTTCATTTAGGGTTATCATGAGCCATTAGCGCCATAGCAGCCCTACGCCACTGACCATCTGCTGGGGAGCCGTTTTTGCAGGCTGATCGGCTATCGGCCATCCTGGATGCCTGAATGTGAGATCCTGCTCTCTACAGCTTTCCCACACTCTGCCCATTGAATGAGCTCCCCGTGTTCCCACAACAATGGAAGTGTGCCTCATTCAACATGAACTCATCCACTGACATGTCAATAGATGTCTTTAAAATGCTAATGCTAACTTTGCAATGAACAAAAGGCATGTTCTTATATATAACAATTAATTCAGAAGCTAATTGATTCAAACACCATTAATTATATAATCCTTGTAGGAAAATGTAAGTAATTAGTTCCTATAATGACTATGCTTATGGTTTGATATAGTCAAAGTAAAATTCAAAGAAGCAAACATACTTAATGTTGCATGAATAATCTTTTGGTCTTGTAGGAGTTAAAAAATAAACTTTTCATGATGGATTTAGAATCAGTTGCTGATCAGGAGGTGGGGAGATTAAAAAGATTAATCCCAAATCATGTTACTCATGTTAGTCATCAAAGAGTCCAAAACCTTCATATCCTCTAAATAACACTGTCACGTTTAATTCAAACTGTTTAATGGTACAAGATCTTATTTTGATGTAATGATTAACAATCACAAATAAAGGTGTAAATTCCACACCTTCCACACCTTAAAATGGAAAATTCAATTTATGCTGCTTAGTCAAATAGAAAAAAGAGTAACCCAAATGTCTCATGAAGGTGAACAGGCTGCCAGTTGTCTCACATGTAAATAAGTCCGCTACGTAAAATTGATTTGCGTAAGTAAAGATAAAAGACAGCCGCAAGAAAACAGTCATTAGTTTGTCAGTGTAAAGGAGCTATTAGCTAAACAGAGGAAAAAGCGGCATTTTTGTTACCTTTAAGAGGTAAGGTCAGTTTAGCTATTTTTAAACATTTCGCGTTTTTACATATTTAGAATGAGTCGTGTGGATATGTAAGGTGTTACTTTTCTTTTCAGTATTTTATTAACAGCCCGTACAAAGTCACATTCGTACGGAGCCCCTAACAGGTCGGGGTGGGAAAATATTTTTCGAAATAGTTCTCTCGCAATACTTTTGCATATAGACATATACAGGCATATCCAGTTATGTGTGCTTTAAGCATTAAACTATGGGGGGCAATGCACAACATGTAATTTTAATATTATGTGTTTTATACGTATTTATTAATAATCGCACTACGTCCATTCACTGCCAGTGACTGTAAACGAGACAGCTGGGCTATTGAACGAGAAGTGCACACAAAAATTGAAATATTAATTAAAGTTCGCTCGTAAAGAAATCTGGAAAACCAATGAGTGTTGCTTGCTTTTGTTTAAATATATTACAGCCGGAAATCTGAATGTTCAGTTAACTTTACTGCGGTGTCATGGTATATAGGCTTAAATATAAAAACACACGATACTTAAGTTAAATGGTGTACATTGCCCCCCATAGTTTAATGCTAAAATCACACTTTACAGGACATGTCTGTAGTATGTGTGTATGTTTATTGATCTTTGCCGTCAAGCTGCAAATAACATGAGGGCAATTGTAGTGGTATCGCAAAAGTACTGCGAGGGAACGCAAAACAATTTCAAAAAAGTATTTTCCCACCCAGGGCTTTTAGGAGCTCCACAGACAGCAAACAAAATTACGACAAACGATCTAATGGGCTTAGGGTTACAGAGACACTTTAAAATTAATTGTAGTTCGAATATCAATGTTCGAACGAGTGTTCTGAAAAAGTCACAGTCCAATGACTTACAGATATGACAGCTAATATCGCAGATCCCGCACATACATGATCGTCATGTATATGATATTAAATGTAGTATAAAGGTTTCTTGTTTGATTTCTGTAGGTCCAAAATGGACGGGACTGTCCTACTCATCCTGCTTCTGTATCTGGGGAAAGGTAGTTACGGAATTACTATTATTATTATTATTATTATTATTATTATTATTAGTAGTAATAGTAGTAGTAGTAGTATTAATAATAATAATTAAAGGTGGCATTTTGTCAGTGGGGCGAAAATTTGTATCTGTACCAATGCACAAAAAACTAAATATGAAATTCTGAAATATCTTTGGGTGTAACATTACGTTTCACATTAAAATGAATTATTATAAGAAAATATATTTCTATTGTTTTTGGAAAGTAAGTATGAAACCAATGCTCAGTTACTTTAAAATAATCAAATCACACTGAAATCAAAACAAGACTGAACTGAATTATTCCTCTTTTTTTCCAAAATTATAGATAGGCAATGAAATATGTCTAAGAATAAACAAACACTGAATTCTGGTTAATATAGGATGCTAAAAATCTTTAGAATAACTTGTTCTTTCATACTGAAAAACCACAGCAGTGACAACTACAAGCTCTCTCACCACTACAAAGAATTCTACAACACAGCCCGCAAATGGAACTTCATCCAGTAGCATTAGTACTACATTAATAATCTCATCTACCCAAGCAAATGCGGCTGAGAACTCAAAACCTGAATTCATCAGTTCCACAAGTACTGAAAAGACCTTTCCAGGAAACACAACGACTGCGAAAACAGAGAGTGTGGGTGTGACTGCAGTCAATTTTACTGATAACTTGACTTCACAGCCTTTGACCAACACCGTCACGATTACAGGAAAGCCAACCACGCAAAAGGAAGCTGTTGGATCCTCATCAACCAGTCTCAATTCCAGTGTAATATCACAGTCAGAACTAATGTCAACTAGAAATATAAGTTCCACAGGGATTGCAGAAGCACAGCCTACAAGTTTGACTACTGATATGATGACGGGTTCCACGGAAAATGGACAGAGCACAGGTAACGGATGATGCTACTTCAAAAGAATATCCATCCATCCATCCATCCATTTTCTCCCGCTTATCCGAGGTCGCGGGGGCAGCAGTCTCAGCAGGGAAACCCATACTTCCCTCTCCCCGGCCACGTCATCCAGCTCCTCTGGGGGAATCCCGAGGCGTTCCCAGGCCAGCCGAGAGACATAGTCTCTCCAGCGTGTCCTGGGTCTTCCCCGGGGCCTCCTCCCAGTGGGACACACCTGGAACACCTCACCAGGGAGGCGTCCAGGAGGCATCCTAATCAGATGCCCGAGCTACCTCATCTGGCTCCTCTCGATGCGGAGGAGCAGCGGCTCTACTCTGAGTCCCTCCCGAATGACTGAGCTCCTCACCCTATCTCTAAGGGAGAGCCCAGCCACCCTGCGGAGAAAACTCATTTCGGCCGCTTGCAATCGCGATCTCGTTCTTTCGGTCACTATCCACAGCTCGTGACCATAGGTGAGTGTAGGAACATAGATTGACTGGTAAATCGAGAGCTTTGCCTTTTGGCTCAGCTCCTTCTTCACCATGACAGACCGATGCAGCGCCCGCATCACTGTGGATGCCGCACTGATCCGCCTGTCGACCTCCCGCTCCATCGTCCCCCCACTCGTGAACAAGACCCCGAGGTACTTAAACTCCTCCACTTGGGGGAGGACCCCATCCCCGACCCGGAGAGAGCATTCCACCCTTTTCCGGCTGAGGACCATGGTCTCGGATTTGGAGGTGCTGATTCTCATCCCAGCCGCTTCACACTCGGCTGTGAACTGTCCCAGTGAGAGCCGAAGGTCACGGTCCGATGAGGCCAACAGGACCACATCATCTGCAAAAAGCAGAGACCTGATCCTGAGGTCACCAAACCTGACACCCTCAACGCCCAGGCTGTGCCTAGAAATTCTGTCCATAAAAACTATGAAAAGAATCGGTGACAAAGGGCAGCCCTGACAGAGTCCAACCCTCACCGGAAACAAGTCCAACTTATTGCCGCCCATGCGGACCAAGCTCTGGCACTGGTCATACAGGGACCGACCAGCCCTTAAAAGGAAGCCCGGCACCCCATACTCCCGGAGCACCCCCCACAGGACTCCCCGAGGGACACGGTCGAATGCCTTTTCCAAGTCCACAAAACACATGTAGACTGGTTGGGCAAACTCCCATGAACCCTCCAGAACCCTGCGGAGAGAATAGAGCTGGTCCACTGTTCCACGGCCGGGGTGAAAAACACACTGCTCCTCCTGAATCCGAGGTTCGACAATCCGGCAGACCCTCCTCTCCAGAACCCCCGAATAGACCTTACCAGGGAGGCTGAGGAGTGTGAACCCCCTATAGTTGGAGCACACCCTCTGGTCCCCCATCTTAAAGTGGGGGACCACCACCCTGGTCTGCCAGTCCAGAGGCACTGCCCCCGATGTCCATGCGATGCTGCAGATGCGTGTCAACCAGGACAGCCCCACAGCATCCAGAGCCTTAAGGAACTCCGGGCGGATCTCATCCACCCCCGGGGCCCAGCCACTGAGTAGCTTTTTAACCACCTCAGCGACCTCCGCCCCCGAAATAGGGGAGTCCACACCCAAGTCCCCATACTCTGCTTCCACATTGGAAAATGTGTCGGTTGGATTGAGGAGGTCTTCGAAGTACTCCCCCCACCGACCCAAAACGTCCCGAGTTGAGGTCAGCAGCACCCCATCCCCACCATAAACAGTGTTGATGTTGCACCGCTTTCCCGCCCGGAGCCGCCCGATGGTGGACCAGAATCGCTTCGAAGCCTTCCGGAAGTCGTTTTCCATGGGCTCGCCAAACTCCTCCCACACCCGAGGTTTTGCCTCAGCGACCGCCGAAGCCGTACCCCGCTTGGCCTGCCGGTACCCGTCAGCTGCCTCTGGAGTCCCACAGGCTAAAAAGGCCTGATAGGACTCCTTCAGCTTGACGGCATCCCTCACCACTGGTGTCCACCAGCGGGTTCGGGGATTGCCGCCGCGACAGGCACCGACCACCTTACGGCCACAGCTCCGGTCAGCCGCCTCCACAATGGAGGCGCGGAACATGACCCATTCGGACTCAATGTCCCCCGCCTCCCGGGGGACATGGGAGAAGTTCTGCCGGAGGTAGGAGTTGAAGCTCCTCCTGACAGGGGATTCCACCACACTTTCCCAGCAGACCCTAGCTACTGTATACGCTTGGGCCTGCCAGGCCTGGCCGGCTTCCTCCCCCACCAGTGGAGTCAACTCACCACCAGGTAGTGATCAGTTGACAGCTCCGTCCCTCTCTTCACCCGAGTGTCCAAGACATGCGTCCGAAAGTCCGATGACACGACAACAAAGTCGATCATCGAACTGCGACCTAGGGTGTCCTGGTGCCAAGTGCACATATGAACACCCTTATGCCTGAACATGGTGTTCATTATGGACAATCCATGACATGCACAGAAGTCCAACAACAAAACACCGCTCGGGTTCAGATCGGGAGGGGCGTTCCTCCCAATCACGCCACTCCAGGTCTCACTGTCTTTGCCCACGTGGGCATTGAAGTCCC